GTAGGTTAATATTTTATTTTTTCCTTTGCTTTTTTAAGTTGTTTGCAACTTATTGTTGATAGGTCCAATAGCGTCTCCGACGTCTTTGTGATTTGAATCGGATCATTGCGAAAATAAAATACCCCTGATTTCCCTGACTGTACATTTTGCTGTATAAACATAACCTAGCCAGAGGCTTTACACACTGAACAGCGCATAAGTTTTTTAACATCAGCGTCGGAAAGTTCAGAGTTCAATTTCAATTTTGAAGCAGACAATAAAAGCAAACAATATTAATAAAGGCAAAAGATTTTCTTGCACCTTGCGTCAACAAAAGCTCCATTCAATGCCTTAATCAGTTCTATTGCAGCAATTTATTTCACAATGAACCTTTTTGCGATTAGTTTTAAAATTGATCTGACATTCAGCAGATGCCCAGACGGCGTCTAGGAGAGTGGAGAGATGGGGGTAATGAACAGACACCCAACTACCCACACCCACCCACACAGGTCTAGACCAGTCGTTGTCCCAGCTGGACCGTGGCATTTCCTTCATTGCGTGTGTGTGTGTGTGTCTGTCTGTTGCCAAGACAGCTTCAGGAGCTGCATGTGGCCTGCACTTGTCTGTTAGATAATCCTTGGCTTTTATTATTTGGTTCCTTCCGTCCGTTCCTTTTGCGAGCAAAAGTCGAATCCACATATACTTGCAGTATGTGTGTATGTACGAGTACACGAACATGCTCGCACTTACGATATTATTGACAGCTGAGTATTGTCCGCGCATTTAAACACGTTGGCCAATATCTGAAATACTTGGCCACATTGTCGATGTTGTCATGGTTGTTGTTGTTGTTGCTTTTATTGTGGTTGTTGTTGTCGGCTCGTTTTAGTTTCAAGCTGTCAAAGGCGTCTGCCGTCCTCTGTCCTCTGTCCTCCGTCCTCCGCCGTGTACTCTTGTTTCCTGCTACTGCTGCAGCCGTCTAGACGACCAGTAATAGTGAGAGAGTTGCCTTTGGTGCCGCCAAAGCTCAGGTGTATTTTTTGAAAATGTAAAAACCAATGGCAATGCGATGGCAATAGTGATGGTAACGACGCGTCGTCCAGCTCCGTCAGTTGGCAGTTGGCAGTCGGCTGGTGGCTGTTGGCAAGCAGAAAGTGTGTGAAAAATGCCGGCAGTATGCTCAGACGTCTGGAAAGTTATGGGCAAAAGTTGTCGCTATCTGTCAGTTTTTCAGTAGCCCGAGTCCGCGTCGGCGTCTGCATCGGCCGTTTGTTGCTTTTGCTTTTGTTTTTGCTTTTGGGTCTGAGTTTGGTTGGTGCAGTTAACTGGTTGGTCGATTGGTTGGTTCGTTGGTTGACAGCTTTAGATCAGAATGCAGTTGATTTATGGCGGCGTTGAGTGGCTTTATGTACAACTCAAATATGACAGCAGGCAATAAGTAAAGAAAGAAAGAAAAAAAAAAACTGCCGCCTGGAAGGGCTATCAGCGGAAGTCCTTTGCACCCTTCTGTTCACCGTTCACAGGGTTTCCAAGGTCCCCGTGGCTAGTGGCTCGTATTCTGTGGCATGTCCAGCGTCCCGCGTCCCGCGTTCCGCGCCCCATGTCCATTCACGCAATAAGCAAATTGTGGCAATTACTGTGTGTCGCATATTTTCTTTCTACACACACTTCCACACCCGTACACTCTACGGCTGGTTGTCGTCGTTCTTGTTGCTGTCAAAGTGACAGGAGCAGGAGCTCGTAACCCATGCATGCTCAACGATGCGTGTCGACAGCACATCAACATATCCGCTCCATGTCCGCTCGTTTTGTCGTTCCTCCTCAATAGGCCTCTCAATGCAGGCCATCGTCCAAGCGCCTAGCTCGCTGCCACAGTCTGCGTATTAGGCTATCTGTCTGTCTGTCTGTCTGCCTGTCTGCCTGACTTACCCTCGGGCAGTGGCCTTTGTATTGCAATAAATGTAATTATGGCTTTGCAATTGCATTTAAAAACTCTCGCTCGTTTTCACAGCTTTGCACCGATACTCATACTTGGTGAGAACTTCAGTCTGTTATTTTATTCAAATCTGGGCAGTGGAGGAACAGACAAACATAGGTATTTATATTGCTTTGATCATAGCATTATTGTATTCAACCAAATACCGAATGTTTTTAACACATTTTAAAAACGAGAAACTAAACTTTGAGATCACTGTCAGACATCTCGTAATCAACTAATCATGACTGTTCTACGATATCGAAAGGTTAAGTATTTAGAAAGGATTTCATCGATATAAGAAAGCTCCGAAGCTCACTTGGACACCAGCAGATTTCTGTTGCTTGACTCAACTACTAAGCACACATTATATTTCTTGCTTTTTCTTCAGCTGTTGGCACAACTGTTTCCGATATTGGATTGGTAGTACCGATCATGAATTTATTTGAGGGTATATAAATGCAGCACTAGAATATTTGTATACCTCTTTAGCTCAACTCGTTGGTCGGTCTTCTTGTCAAATTTAAAAATTTTAATTTTCTTTCCATTTTGTAATGCAGTAGAGAAGTGCAGTTTCCAAAGGACTGACTCGAATATAAAAACCTTTGAACCGTGTCCTTCAACCCTCCGAGTCTTGTTTCTGCTGTAGTTGCAATCCATATTGCTCGCTTTGATTCTGTGATAGACAAAGCCAAGAGTAGAAAAATGAGCATCAAAGGTAAAAGCCATCACCACCACATTTAGTGTTAAATATTGAAAGTCTGCCTCGGACGTCTGCGAAGTGCGGCAAAAACTGATGCCCTAAGCAGTAATGATGGCGGCCTCAACGCACGCTCCGCCAAATAAAAACAAAGACCAAGTTTTTGGCTTCAGGGGGTGGGAAAAGTACAAAGCGGCCTGGGACGAACTGGGCCGGGACTGGGACTGGGACTGGGACTGTGACTGGTACTGGTACTGAATCGGAGTCTGGAGCTGACTGAGTCGTAATGCACACAGTGATGCGAAGCGTTCGGAAAACTGAAGATGAAGCAGAAGCAGAAGCAGATGAAACGTGCAACTGGGAGGGAACTAGAATCGAAACTGGAGCGGGAGCTGCAGATGGAGGTGGAGATGCGGATGGAGATGGGGATGGAAAGGGAAACAGCAGACGCACAGTCCATCGGTCGGCTTCGCTGGCTGAGTTGGTTTGGTTGGTCGGTTGGTCGGTTGGTGGCTTGGTCGGTCGGTCGGCCGCACGACGATTGGTGGCGAGTGGTGGCGAACAGCAGAAATTGCAGCCGATAATAATTATTTTTATGGAGTCTAGTCTGTGTCTAGACGATTTTTTGTTGTTGCTGCATTTGTTGTTGTTGCTACAGTACTTACTTCACTTGTTGTCGACCTGTTTGCTACGCTTTGCAACTAACTGCGCGCCTCGTGTTGCTGCCGTTGATGTTGTTGTTGTTGTTGTTGTTGTTGTTGCTGTTAAAGCTACTGTGTCATTGTTTTCGCTTTGATTCCGATTTAACTGGTAAACTGGCATTTAACTGTTTCTGTTTGACAAACAAGCAGGCAGACAGAGCCAGAAAGAGCGACAACGACAACGGCAGCGACGGTGCCAGTCCCAGCCCCAGTGGTACTGAGGAGAGGATGGCAGGCGGAGAGAAACGTAGGAACGTGGAGACAGACAAACGACTGCAGGCATGACAGACTAAATGCCGCAACAAATAGACACACAGACTAAGGTACGGACGAATGGACCTTGGGACAGACAAACAGGCATGCAGACAGATAGACGGATGGACAGACAGACAGTCAGTCAAACATGCGGAAAAGTCAACCAGCCAAGCAACAGCAGTAGACGACGGTTCGTTGCTCCAACTCGGGCAGTTGCTCTGCTTCGTTGGCCATGAGAAAAATTGCACCTCAACCAGCCAGACGTCCGACTGATTGTCTCTGACTTGACGCCGCTGTCACTATTGCCGTCGTTATTATTGTTGTTATTGCAGTCGTTGTTGTTGTTGCTGTTGTCGCCGCCGCCGCCGCCATATTTGGCAGATATCGAATGTGTCTGGCTACCTAAAGCACAGTGATTAAAACAGTCATTTACGTAGTTAAATCTTCATCCAATCTCCAGAAATCTTTATATATATATATATATACTCGTATAGAAAGTAAATTGAAAAATTATCTCTTGAAAATGTCAGACTCTTATTCAGATTTTACATGGTAGACTCGAATAGAAGCTGCACCTCAGTCAGCCAGACTACTGGCCTTTCAAGGCAACTCGATTGAATGACATTTTCGTGGTTGAAGCCAGTACCTTTTCAAATTGTGATTTGGAAGTAAACCTTTGTGGAAATGATTTGTTGCTGTATTTAACTGAGGAGTGAAAAAATGGAGCCTAAAATTACAAAATTCTCTTTTAAAACAGTCAGTTAACTAGTATGCATCAAAATTTACACAATTGGTCCTAATACTCACATTTTGATTAAACCAAACCTCCGCTTCTACATATGAGTATACTATATTCAAGATTAAGCCTAAAAACATATTCAGATCCACCTTCCACAAATTCAAAAGGTGTACAATTTGTTTTTGCAACATCCACAAAATCCTTCTTATTTATCTCTTAAGTTTTTATTTTAGATCTGTCCTTGGACTGACACTTCGGTCATGCTTCTGCAATAGCGAGTCAAAATATTGAATCTAATGCCATGCCGCACGCTTTTTAAGATACCAACTCATTTCTGGACCATATTTTACTGGCATCCTTGAACAAAAGTCGAATTATAATATTGTATGATAAAAATAAAAAGGAATGGTATGAGGAATGGTAAACGGACCTCCACAAAATTCTCTTAAAAATAACAGATATTCTGTGTCGCCATTTTTAAAATTTTCAATATTTCTTTCGTAATTGGCTGGGCTGATCCTAGACGTGTACATAGAGACCAGTTGGGAACCCTGTGTTTTTCCTGTGTGCATCCTTTTTTTGGACCATTGTTGTGTCGCATGTTGTCGGTATCGTCGTCATGATTGGCGCGTCAACAAACGACACCTTTGTTCATGGCGACATTTTCAGCATGAGCTGTGCTGCCATTGCATTGTTGGGCGGCCCTGTGACGACCACTGATATTATGTTATTATAGCAATTATAGTTACACGACTTGCGTTTTTCATTACAGGATGATGGTGGTGGCTGCAGCGGTGCCGGTGGCGGTTGCGGTGGCGGCAATTGTCCGTGGCATCTATGGCATTTTGGCGGCACCGCCGATGACAGCACAGCATGTTCGTTCAGATTTTCACTTAGCGATAAAGATGCAGAGTTGCGCATGCGCCGCGCGGATGCGTTCAAGTTCGCCGCCAGCACTGCAATTACAAACATTTTAATGCAATTAACACACCTGTGCAAAAGCTCCAGCGACAAGCGGGCTTATTTGCCTCGCATCGCCTCTCCTCGCCTCGCCAACGGGGCCTGGCATGCTGGCAATTTAAAACTTGCCGGCCCCAAAACTTCAAAGCCAAGCGACAGGCAGAGGTCCGTATGTGCGCGTGTGTCTGACTCCGAGTCCGAGTACGAGTACGAGCTGAAGTCGTTGTCGGTGTCAGTTTCGTTATGTTGAATTAGGTTTTGGTAGTCCCGGCCCACTAACTCAAACTGCTGCTGCTCTTTCCCAGCCAGTTGGACTTCCTTCTACGCTTCCCGGCGTTGTTATCAGTGCAAGAGATATGTCGTCGCCGCGCCTTTGTAGTTTACCGCGCTCAGTTTCTGGCTCGTTAGAGTTGGCGACACGTTGTCGGCATTGGCATTGGAGCGTTACCAGCTTCAGCTATAGCTACAGCTGTAGACTGTGCCGTGCGTGGCAGGATGGGAGGAGTCTTCAAAGTTCCCGTCAGTGTGCTCGCCAGGTGTTTGGCAAATCATTTTGCTTGCCAGCTTCGTCTTAATTTCGTTCTGCCTCATTGCTCCCAATTTGCAAAACTGATGGCCCGCTTTATGCAAATTGAAAGATGCACAAATCCTGCTGCAACTGTCGGATGATATCAAATGCAAGCCATAAGCCCACGGCACATTCCTTGCAATGCTGTCATGGGCTATAGTACTTATAGTTTCGGGCTGATCGCAACTAAAGCTCAGTGGCATGATCAGGCAGGCAAATTATTTGGCACTTGCATCATTTATTTACATTTTACAAGATGTGATTTTACTTTACCAATATGAACAAAAACTTTGGTGTATACTATTTAAAGGGATGCAATTTCTCGAAAGACTCCGCATGTCTGACCTATCTGCCTATCACCTCGACATGGACTTCAATTAAATCACGTTTTGTTCCGAGTTCTTATTTTAGAAAAAACAAAAGGGGTGGTGAAAGAAACAAAAGAATTTTAATGGTGTCTCATAATGGTGTCCCATAAATGTTCCCGACATTTGAAGAATTATAATACAAGTATGGTTGATAATAATCATTTACTGTCAAAGGCTGGTCTTCTAAAAATGTATACTAGTTATATGCTAAGATCTGAATAAAGTAACAGTATCTTCTCCTTCATTTGAATAAAAGGTGAAAAAGTAACAAGTAGAAGGACTGCCACGCCCCCCCCCCCCCCCCCCCCCCCAAAAAAAAAAGTATTCTTCATCAGTCTGCTTGTCCATATAGAGGCACAAAGTTTTGTACACAGATTCCCTGTGTATGTACGCAGTACGAGTTTGTTTTATTTGATTGAATATTAACCTATCTGGATGCTACCTAATAAACTCACTTATTAAATCTTTGCACTAAAACTTGTAGCAGGAGGTGCCTGTGCCTTAGTAAAACGTTGTCTAATATAAATTTGCATGAGTTACTCATGCTCATTTGTATTACTCATCCGTGGTCTATACATATTCTAAAGATCAACCTTGTTTTATTTGTAATTAGTTCATATTATTAATTTAAAACGTTAACAGGCTGATGTTAATTAATTGCCTGAGATCCATTCTCACCAAAATAATATTATACAAGCCATAAAATTAATGTCTATACTCTTGTATCAGCAGGTTTTATCTCAAGCTATAAATAACCTTTAGTCGTAGGTATTTTAAAATTCATTGTCTGATCTTTATACGAATATAGTCCAGTGACTTGTTAGGAAGTTAGGCATACCGCTCTTTATCTTTTTTAAAACACATACACTCTCCTATAATAAATGATATATTCTTGAGATTATAATTTGGCTGTTGACAGGAGGCTAACCAAAATGCAAGCTAACGTCTTGACGCAAGGCCTTCTCGATGTTGTTTTTGTTTTGAAATGAACTGCCAAAAATATCTACATAAAACAAACGCAAACAAAACGAAACGAATCGAAATGAGCCAATTATATTTTATGGAATGCATGTCTAGACAGTTCTACAGACCGAAAGTGTAAAAACCGGCACTGCGAAAAAACAAAATACAAAAACGAACTTAAATTATTGTACTGCTCAGTGCCCGAACTGCCTGGGGCCATTGACAAAGCTGCGAACGATGACACTACCCTAAAAACTAAACCTAGGGAAACTTTTCAGTTTTGGAAGGGTGACAGCAAACAAAAAAAATTATTGATTATTTGAAGCCTACAGCACAAATGTATACTGCCCAAGCGTTTGATGTCTGCAGCATTTAACGTATTGAGTCGATCCAAAAGCCATTTATCACCTTTTCCCAACTCGGTTTACTATAAACTGGGCTCATAACAAGTGCTTGCAGACCTTCGCTTCTTAATCTTCCAGCCGTAGGACTGTGCTCGATTTAGTTCTTCTCCACAGGCTAATAAATTGCAATCTATACTTGTCTGCCGCCTTAGGTCGAGGTAACTTTTGTGTGCCTTGTCGACTAACAAGAATTTGTTTTCCATCTTGTCTAGACGCATAATTGACTGCGCTTTGGCTTTGTGCTCTTACTCTCAAGAGAACTCCGTCTCGCTTTCTCCACTATACTCTATAAAATGTTTGTCTATAATCATTTCCGGGTAAATCTACATTGACTACTACATTTTCCCCCACCTCTTTTTTCTCTTTAAATAATCTAATTAGCTATTGCTTAAAATAAAGCTTTTGCTTTCCACTTACTACTATTTTTAGGTACCTTTTAGCATGTTGGGTCTACTACTATTTTTAGCATGTTGGGTCTAATAATGTGTCTGACCACAACCGAGTGGCACCCAATGAGTCGGAGACGTCAATTGTTGTTTATTTTGAGATTTTTTTTGATCTTAGCTTTTACTGATAGGTTGAAATTATAATCAATGTCTTTGTTGTAGATTTAAATAAATGAAATGTAACAGGCGTATGGCACATGATCACTTTTAAACAAAAATTCTAGTCTGCTGTTCAGAGTATCGCCAATTGTCTTTAGATAACTTTTCAATCGGATAATTATGTGCTTACGCTGCGATTTATGGCATTATTCCACAAGACTAGAAAATTTGCTTGATTCCGAAAAGAAGCGTGAAAAACCTAAAACTTAACATTGACAACATCTCTCTTCCATAAACAAGCGAAGTGTCTGGTCTACCGTTTTCACATCTTAGTGAAGCGCTTTAAGTATTTTCCCTTTCTGCTGGAAGTTCATTATTGAAATTTATTGCATCATTTCCTGCACCGCCTATGAAAGCTATCATTGCTATATACAAGTATATTGCCATTATATCGCCAAGTTTCTAGATCAGTGCAGCTTGTGAAAAGACTTGCCATAATTCACAGAGTGTCGATGAAAGTATCTGCTCATGTATTAAATATTTTGTAAGTAAGCAAACATCGTCTACTTGTATATAGTATTTATTTGCTTACTTACATGAATGTGCCAGCTACGCGCAATCATAAAAGCCAGCTACTGGGGCAGAATGTCAACATCTGATGATGGCTCCCCGGCATCAGGCAGAAGCAGTCAAATCGATTAGCTTCCGTTTCGATTCAGTTGGCTGGCCATTTGAATGAATGACTTCTCGCAGCCTTGAAAGCGCAAAACACCGAGCGCCAACCCACAAATTTGTTCACTAATTTCTATTCTAGGTCATTAGGGAAGCGGAGCCGTCAAGGTGAATTCGAACTCGGGCAGACCATTTAAGTAGCTAGCCCAGTGCGAACAACAAATACGCCTAATTTGATATTTATGTTATGCCCATGTGTTATGCCCCATCGTTTATTCGCAGTAGGAGCAGCAGTCGCAGCCGCAGCCGCAGTCGCAGTCGCAGCCGCAGTTTCCACTGCCCAGTCGCCACTCATTTAGGCAATGTGTGATATTTAGCCATTGGCATCGCATTTAAGCCGTTCGTGATTTTGATGAATTACTTATGAAGGCGAAGACCAGCAGCCATGAATTCATGGAAAATTCATATCGAATCACTTTTCGTGCACGCAACGGCAAAACAAGCATGGGGCAGACCCTTTGCATTTCCTGTCTGCGTCGATGCCACACGAAACCAAATTTCACGTCGGCGACGTGTCTAGACGCTAAATATTGTCATACATACATACTATATGTACGTATGTACATATTTATATGCATGCATATACTACATGTACTCGTATGTATATACATACAAGTATATGTGTAAGCATGTACGAATGACGTCTGTAGGCTTGCTTGTTACAAAACTTTCAGCCAATGTGTGAATAAAAGTTTTTCCGGTTGTGTGTGAAAATGTACATGGAACAAGAGACGAGGCAGCATCATTTGTGGAATAACAAGTCTAGAGCGCTCTGACGAAAGACTTTGTGAACTAATCAAACCAGCTAAGAGAATTCAAAGTTTCTGATGAGCTATGAGCAATACTTTCACATCCTGACAATTAGTCTATTTACATATAAAGTGCGGTATACTACTTGTATATGTCTGCAGAAACGCAAAGATGCAGATTATTTAAGTCCATGCTCTTGAATCGGCTTTAATGTTACCCACCAAATGACGTTGTTTATGGATCGAAACTATTTAAGTGCACTTCTCTGATTATACAAGTAAACCAAACTTTGATAAGGATATGTCGTCATCGTCAGTATAACTGTCAAACCCAATTGATTTAATTTTACAAGTAAACTTCGAAACTATCAAAAGTATCGTTAATTTCTCAAGAGTCAGCACAAAGTAAAGCCAGAGAGCTATTATTTTTGAAACTACACTATTAGCCCAACTCACTCAACCTAATATACATAATACAAGTAGGTATAATTGTTTTGTTCAATCGTAATATTTTCTTAAATAACAGACTTTTGACTCTAAAGGCGGTTTTTAATAATATTGTACATTTTTTCACACGCACTATTCAATTATCTTTTAAGTACAAGTGGCTGTACTTTTTATACCCTGTACCCAAAGGGTATATTAGTTTTGTGCGAGTGCACATGGAACACACAGAAGGAGGCTTGGTAGACCCCACAAAGTATATATATTCTTGATCAGCATGACAAGCCGAGTCGATATAGCCATATCCGTCTGTCCGTCTGTCTGTCTGTCTGTATGAACGCAAGGATCTCCGAAAGTATAAGAGCTAGAATAACCAAACTTGGTATACAGATTCTCCTGAGCCCGAGAAAGGACGAGTTTCTTCATTTTTTCTGATCCACCCCCCCACTCCCCCCTATTAACGGTAGTCACATTAAGTTAGTTATTATATAACCGTATACCAAGTCTCATTATGATAGAATGATCGGAAAGAAAGTTATAGCCATATAACCAGGCCCAATGCACACATACATACATATGTACAAGTACACAAACACGCATAAGGCACGATTCTGATGTAAATGTAAATGTATGTATGCATGCATGGAATATTGTATATTTAATTTAGTTAATTAATTAAATTAATTTAGTTAATTAATTAAATTAAAGTAATTAATTAATATTTACTTTTTTGTGGGGTGGTACAGGGTATTTAAGAGTTGAGCCTGCTCGACTTTAGCATTCCTTTCTTGTTATTATTTATCAGTTGTACAATTTGTTCTCTATGCGAGTATGCATTGCTAACAAAAACAGATTCTCACTCGATTCGGATGTCCAGCAAAACCCTAATAATTTCCACAAAAGATTTCAGTTCACGTATATTGTACGTGCAACGAATGTAATCGTATTTGCAATTATTACAAACCCGTTGGACAGATACAAACATATTATTTCGGCCAAAATTCGTTTTTCAAGTCCCCAATAAGAAACAAGGGAGAACGCTACAGTTGAGCAAGCCCGACAGTGAAATACCTCGTACCCACACTAGCTTCCGGCACTGAATTATATGGATCCATAGCAGGAGCAAAAGCAGTTTGTGGGCGTAGTACTAAAGTGAAATGGTTTCGCTAATAACTTTTCTTAGAATTGACCGATTTGGATTGAAACAAGAGTAGATATTTATATATAAATTATGCGTGCAAAGCTTTATGTTGCTTTTAAAATGTTGACAATATTGACGAATTTCTGTAGAGGGGAGAGGGAGGGAAAACTAAAAGAATAAAATAAACTCGTGTAGCTTAGGGACTAGGAGCGTCTATATAACAAGTTTGGTTAATGTGCACTCAACCGCTTCCGAAATCCAGGAGTTCATCCAGACGGACGGGCAGACAGACGGACAGTATGTTACATACTTTTCACAAACCTAATATACCCTATTTACTCTACCTGTACAGAGTATAAAAACATCGAATATTTGACGTAACGCAAGGTACAATCATCTGTGACATCATTTAATATAATTCGTAACAATAATTTAGACATACAAGTATGTATTGATAGTGGTTTCGGATGATTTCCATAAATAAATTTCCAACTCGATGACGATGATTTTAGAAATGGGTTTTTATTCGAGCCAAATCGCAAATGGGAACACTGTCTAAGACTTGAAGAACACATGTTTTTATAATATCGGCATCGTATGAATTTTGTGCCCAAATTATTTACTGCTTACTTTAAAATATATATTGACTCTGATGCGCTCTTTATTGTTTTGGTACCAAGTGGTGTATAGCACATAGTCGCCATCTATGAAAATCACAATATGAGAAAAAGTCCGTTGGATCTTGTCAGTCCACAATGTGGGAATAATTAAATCGTGCTGCAACAAGGAAAAAGCATAAGATGGAAGGTTTCTTTATACTCCGTACATTGTCCAACATTTCGAAGCTACATAAACTTCAGAAAAGTTACCCAAGCAACTGCTGCATCGGGCTTCTCCGACGAAAGCGTTCTATATTTTTTTATACTTACATCATAGGGACAGGTATGGTTCAAATTGGAATATTCTTTTAAAATTGTTAGAAATGTGTTCAGAAAGGCATTGCGTTGATTCTCCAAAAAGTAACACACATCAAAGGTAATTTCCGGCAAAAATGTTTTATAGCCATTATTGTTGCGCATTATTTTGAAAATAGCCTGCAATTACAAACAAACCAGTCTTAGGATCATCGAAAGGTCACACTTAAAAGTACCTACCGTCAAATTATTTATAGGTTTCTGTAATGGTTTAATATGAATGCTAATATATTTGTGGCTGCGATTCACGGCCTTAATAAAGCAGTGCTCGAATCGAGAAAAATCCGGGTCAGTGGAATTACATTTGAGGTTGGTAAATGTAAAATGACCCACGCACTACAATATATAGATTTATAGAGGTTTGTATGTTCATGAATATTCACTTTCATATGCGATATTTCATAGTTACCAATATGAAGGTAAGGCTGAGCACAAAAAGCCGACACTTGAGCATATTTTCAATTAACTATTCGATAATGTTTGTATGCAATGTAATTTATATATTATATGAAGTCTCTAGCTGTTATGGTCTCAACTAACTATTCGATAATATTTCAATATGCTTTTTATAGTGAATGTGATAGGGATGCGAATTATATATATTAACAAGTCGAAAAGGTCTGTTGCCCTGACTTTAAAATACTCTGCATGTATGGGATAATTATTTAAATTTACAAGAATTGACAAAATTGGAAAAAAAGTACAATAAAAATGTAATACAAAAATTGAGCGAATTTACCTCCATTGGGCTTTGAACTCTTGTGCGTAGTACAGAGTTCAGCCAAAGCAGAAACCACAGCAACAGCTGTTGGCAGATCTTGAACGTCCTTCAAAATGTACCCATCACGGTTGGTGTCTCTAGCTCTTATAGTCTCTGATGTCTAAGTGTTCATACAGACGCACAGACTGACAGACAGGGCTAAATCGACTCGTCTTGTCATTGTGATGAAGAATATGTGCTCTGCACTTTTTTCCCTTTTCCCAAACCTAATATACTTTTTACCTTTTATGTACAGAGTATAAAAATCAATTACCTCCACATAAATACATACAAAAGCAATTATTAGTGGATGTAATTTCATGGTGATCGCACGACTAATAACCTCTGAGAACCATATTTGTAGAAAAACACCATAATTTAAAACACATTTAAAATGAATTACAAATATGTGGAGAAATACTATATTTTGTTATGGAACCGCACACTTCGGCATTATACGTTAAGAATATAAATAGTTGAAGCCTATTTGTATCAGTGCGGTAGTTTTTACAACAAAACTTATTAATTTTGTTATTATACAACTAATTAGTGTTTAAGCATTCAACTTCCAAACCTGCTTTGTTTCTTTTAATTAACATCAAAATAGATTTTGCAAATTTCGATCGAAAAATTTTCAAAATAATTTTTCGATTATTTTTAACAAAGAACCCCATCTTAAGATGGTCCCAAGAAATGGGCTGTTTATCAAAAGGTTTCAAAAAGTGGCCTTCTCATTTTTTAGATATTTTAAAGTAAATATTTACGATTACACGCTTAACATTACGGATATACCAGGTGGTGAAGATGGCATACTCTCCGGTAACTAAGGAAATATATCGATCAAAAGTATTTTCGACACCAATAGTCCAAAGTTCATGAAATATTAGATCATGCTGCAAGAAAAACATTACAAATCTTTAGTTAAAAATACATATGTTAATAATTGTACTTACATCATAAGGACAGGAATGATTCATATTCGAATACTGTTTGTACAACATATAGAAGTGATTGAGTATGGGATTGCGTTGATTTTTCAGAAACTTACACACATCGTAGGTTATATCAAGAACAAATGGCTTATAGCCATTATCATTTCGCATTACCTTAAAATTGCTCTAAAACGAAACCAAAACGAATATAACGGCAAATACCATGTTGAAATAACCCTTATGTAGGTAGGACTTACTATAACATTGTCCACGGGGGTTTGCAAAAGCTTCATATGCATGTTGATGTACTTGTGGGTGCGGTTCACCGCCTTTATATAGCACTGATTAAATTCCAAAAAACTGTTATCGGTGGTATTGCATATAATGTTGGTAAAGCTGAGATGCCCCAAGCACTGAAAAAATATACATATTTCCTTAAAAATTGACTGTAAAGTCCGAGTAATGTACTTGTATTTTTACCATCGCCACTGCAGAGGTGAAGATCATAAGCCGATATATAAACATGTCTGCAGTTAGAACACGACTAATATCAATGCTGGAAAGCCACATCAACTGAATACTATTGGAACGTTGAAGTCGCGCGAGTCCGACTCTTGTATACACTATACCTGCTCCCTTGATTCACTTTTGATGAAACTTCAGATTACACTTTTTTACGCTTAATTTAGGACTAAAAATTGTGTGTTGAAAGTATTTTAGCAATTAAGAACTAAACTGAAACTTAAGTTCAGTTTAAAAATCGAAATTAAAAATCTTGATTGTATTTTGGAGCCATCCTAAATACAAAAGTGCACTTTAAAATATGATATAAAGTGAGAAAATATTTGGTAAATTATTTGTTTACTTTCAAAATATGCTGAAGTATATATTAACGGATGCACGCTTAATATTCTTCGAGTACCAGGTAGTATATAAGGCATACTCGCCACCAACCAAAGGCACAAAGCCTTCCAAAGTGTCTTCAAGGTATCGGGTCCATAGTTGAGGGAACAGGAGATCATGCTATATTAAATTTATAAATGTATACAAGTTTCGTTGTGAGCATTTAGAATTTAAAAACAAAATAACTTACGTCATAGGGGCAGGTATGATTCATATTTGAATACTTTTTATATAGTTTAAAGTAGAACTCTCTTATTATCTTATTTTTTTGATTGACCAGAAATCGACACGCGTCGATAGTAACATCTAGGAAAAACGGTTTAAACCCATTATTATTTCGCATCAGCTTGATATTGGCCTGCAAAAATACTATACTTATCTTTCAGTCGATTTCGAATAATATGGGCCAAACTTACGGTTACGTTGTCCACGGGCGTTTGATAGAGCTTAATATACAAAGTCATGAATTTGTCAGTGCGGTTCACGGCCTTTATATAACAGTCCTTAAATTCGCAGAAGCTATTATCCGTTGAGTTGCACTTGAGGTTTGTAAATGTGAGAAGGCTGTTACAACACTGCAACTATAAAGCTATTGTGGAATTTAACTTTTGCAGCAGTACGATACTCACCACTATAAATGCTATGCAGAGCACTACTAGTTGATATCTAAACATGTTTGGAAGGCTGGTTTGACTAATTTAGGTTCGGTATTTTCAGAGCTTGAAACCTAATCTCTCAGCCAGGTCATTAGTGAAATGCATGATGTTCCGACATAGGAGCAATTAAAAGACAATTTTTTTTGGTTCGCTGGATTTACCTGCCAAAATATGCTTTAAGTCAGGTCTTAACATTCCCCATCTATATACCAATAGAAACAAATGCGTACCTAGTTGCTAGTAACTAACTAAGTCATTACTAGACTTTACAGGCATACCCTTTTACCCAACGCTGGGCATAAATTATTATAAGATAGTAATTCAGTACTGAACTGTAAAGTTCAAATCAAAGAAAGACAATAATCTACATACATAAATACAAAATGTTGACTGTACTTTGTGTAATAGCCTTATAGACCTTAAAAGTCTTATTGTATTCTAAACTTCCGTTACTAGCGTTTGACATGTTTTTCTTTATTTCGGTATGTGTTGTTGTTTTTATTCATTTCGTACTGTGTGCGCGCCTCCAAAGCCAAAGAGCCCAAAACGATAGCCACTTTTGAAGGCCGGCAAACTCGGCGCGTTAAATTAATGTGCCTCACGACCGGCAGGGTCGAACGAAATGAAATAATTCTGGTTGTGGCCAGGAGGAAAACGACGCGGCCAAAACGCAAGGCAACGAGAAAAAGGAAAGCAACAACACAACTGCAGACAAAAAGAATGTTATTGGCCTTCACTTAACGCTCATAAATTTGTCTGCTGTGAAATCTGCGAAACAAAAAAAAATACAATAAAACAACTGCATCGATGGAGATGGAGATTTCAAGACGAAGACAAAATATTGTTTATACGGCACGCTTCCGCAGCCGTAAACAGGTCTGATGTCTAGACCAACCCGTCGCTCAACCCGCTCGCTCCTCCATGCGTGTGTGTGGGTGTTAATGGTTGTACGCAATGTGGACTTAGAGGTGCATTTGGGTTTTGGCTGGATTCGCCGAGTGGAGTTGGAAGTTGGAGTTGGCGTTAAAAATTGCTATTAAATTACCATGTAACATGTCCATAAGTTGCAGCCACCTGTGCGCCGCATTAACCCGTCATTGCCCAATGGGTAGAGTTGCGTAGAGTCCACCCTTTTCTTGTTACAAATTGCGAAATTGCCTGCGGCTATATACTTAGATATATGTACATTCCATGGCCCTGGCACTGGCCATGGCCCTGGCCCTGGCCACGTTGTACTTTACGCATAAATCTGATTAAAAGTTGCAGTTAATGAACTTATGCCGAACCAGTGCGGACGCCAGTGCGAGCCCTCTGTACTGACCCCGGCGAGTTGCCGGCGCAAAAAATAAAACTGGATATCTTGCCTTCCAGCCTCAAACTTGCAACTTTGTCTTCAGCAATTTCTACTTCCACTTGGCTGCATTTTGGCTCTGTCTGCAGCGTTCCTTATAACATCATTGGATGTCTGCCGCACTCTAAAAATAGCCAGCCAGCCTGCCAGCCTGCCCAGCCACATGTTGGTCAAGTTGTTAAACTGTCTGGCAGGCACCAGGAAAGGTGATTGCTGCAATCAGGGGCGGCCTTCGCTTGGGAACTTTAAGGCAAATCGCGGCCAGATGGGTTATACACAGGCGCTGTAACGCTTTTTTCCGTTTCTACAAAGTTGCACAGCATTGTATTTTTGTATTGGACGCACTCAAAAGATCCCCACCAAAGCGATGCAAGGCCTACAAACTCCAACCACCATCACCATCTTTTTAATAAATGCGAACGTGATCGCGTTTCGTGCGTCATTGCATGCCCAGACACACTCACACACACACACACACACACACACACACGTACACGCACAAAGAGTCACAAGGCGTTGCACCTTAGCAAAGGTGCATTGATCGTTCGTTGATCGTGCGTTGTCTGGGCAACATGTCCGCAGCAGCGACGACAACGTCGCTGACTACAACGACAACGACAACGACACGACTGCGACCGTGTTGTTCAGTTTGACTTTTTTATTTTAATGTGAAATTGAAAAAATGTTGCTTTTTATGCGACACAGGCAAAAGCTTTTATTTGTGTTAATGGCGCGCGTGCGTTCAGCCAAAAATAAAAAGTGCGTTCGTTGAACGCAATTTTCGTGGCTTGAGTGCTTAAACACTGCAAGGGCAGGGGACACAGGGTGACTCACAAACAAAGGGACAAACAGTTAAAGGACTAGCCATTATGGCTACGACAAAAAATAAAACAGCAAAATAGTTTTTTTTAAGAAACTGCTTTTTAACTACAAATATTGGATAGTAATTTTCATTTACAAGCTATTAAAGTCTGTTTATTCTAAGATCAGTTTAGTCTAAGGTAAAGATATATAAAATCATAGATTCTGCCGATAGTGCAGTTCTAATCAAAACGTATACGTAATTTAAAAGGGACCTCAACTGATAGTTGCTGTGACTATACGTTATTATATATACATATATACACAGTGGCTTGAATGGTTGTTGGGTGGCTTGTGAACGCCACAAACACTGCAAGGGCAGGGGACACAGGGTGACTCACAAACAAAGGGACAAACAGTTAAACGACTAGCCACTATGGCTACACCAAAAAATAAAACAGCAAAATAGTTTTTTTTAAGAAACTGCTTTTTAACTACAAATATTGGATGGTAATTTTGAGTTACAAGCTATTAATAGTCCGTTTATTCTAAGATCAGTTTAGTCTAAGGTAAAGATATATAAAATCATAGATTCTGCCGATAGTGCAGTTCTAATCAAAACGTATACGTAATTTAAAAGGGACCTCAACTGATAGTTGCTGTGACTATACGTTATTATATATACATATATACACAGTGGCTTGAATGGTTGTTGGGTGGCTTGTGAACGCCACAAACACTGCATGGGCAGGGGACACAGGGTGACTCACAAACAAAGGGACAAACAGTTAAACAACTAGCCATTATGGCTACGACAAAAAAAAAAAAACAGCAAAATAGTTGTTTTTAAGAAACTGCTTTTTTACTACAAATACTTGATGGTAATTTTGAGTTACAAGCTATTAAAGTCTGTTTATTCTAAGATCAGTTTAGTCTAAGGTAAAGACATATAAAATCATAGATTCTGCCGATAGTGCAGTTCTAATCAAAGCAGATAGTTGCTGTGGCTATACGTTATTATATATGTATATACATATCTACATATTTTGACATTCTTCGAAACAATCTAGTTTGATGCGTCAGTGACGCAGTCACTTGAAAATATCTAAATGCGATTTGGTTGTCGATAGCCGAGCTTTAATCGAAATACAAGTAAGTGGTTTTCATTTGCTTGGCAGTCACTCGTACCAAATTGTCTTTTAATGCATTTGCCATGCACGAGTCGAACTTTGTACTGGACGGGTCTAAGCGGGAGGGGAAAGGACGGGACGCACGCGCGCATTTACTGCCCGAATGCAAGGCGTAACAAATGCGACACGTGCGAGCAAATTGCACGCTATCCAGTCAACCAGTCAGCCATTCAGACATTCAGACATTGGCACTTTCGGACACTCAGTCAGCCACACAAACGAGCAAAGAAATAAACAACCACGCTCGCATATGAGCTGCAAAGGGCTGATCCACTCCCGCTGCCTGCCTCTCTTACTCTCCCCAGCTTTGTTTGCTCATCAGACGGCGAGACTGGGACTTAAATTGCATGTATATTGGTTACTAGCCTTACGGGTACATAACTAAATGCATACAAGTACAACTCTGCTGATGACTGACGGACTGTCGCATTGATATTCTGAATCTGACTCTGACTCTGATTCTAATTCAGGCTGGTGTAGCCAAAGTGCAACTCAATTGTGCTATATATTTGTTGTTCATAAAGTTTAACGTTTCCTTTCTATACCCTGTACCCAAAGGGCAAAAGGGTCTAGTTTAGTGTGAAAAGGAAAGAAACTTATACCCACATCTGTATATATAGTCACACATACATAAAGTCACAAAGTTTCTCTTGTTTTATTAATTTTGACAGTAATTACATTTTGTGATAACCCTGACAATTTGTAATCATGCTTCTGTCATGATAATTGCGGCGTCGATTCGAGCCAAGTGCCCACTCAATGAACGAACTGACATTGTGGGATTCCTGCTAGCTCGTTGAGCCCCGTTTTATTAGTTTAAATTATAAAAAAGTTGTATTTAAGAAAAATTTTAAAACAAATTTGTTTGTGTTTTTGTGGGAGTAGGTACAGGGTATTCAAAAGTTGACTCGACTCTAACATTCTCTCTCTCTCTCTCTCTCGCTCTCTCTCTCTCTTGCTTTACATATAGTAAATTTTTTCGTCATACAGACCTCGTCTAATGAATGAGTTTGGCGCGGCATTTATGGCGCAATAATGTGACTGATTGCACTGAACGAGTTTTATGTATTCACACTATACATACTAGTATATGTATAGAAGTATATAGTGCATTCATACAAACACACTCGTGAGTAGCTGCATACATTGATGTGCACTTGAAGTGCACAATGTTGACTCGGGGGACGGAGGCTGGCGAATGACAGACACAGTCGACGATTTGCCGATGTAAACATTGTCTGCGGCATTTACAACTCAGTCAGGCGGACGAGACGGGCCGGGAGCGTTTCCCGCTCACACACAATGTTGATAATAATAAACCAATAAAATTAATACAAATTGCAATTGTTGCCCACGACACACTTCGCTCTCAACATACACACACACACACACCTCTGTATTTTTATATATATATATATAGAAGTATATGTACATTTATTTACCAATTGCGTCCATGCGCCGCTTCCATGTGCAGTTCTCCGGCTGTCTCTTTATGCATACTATATATTCCTATTTATTTGATACATGTCTGCGGCGCGTGTTTGTTTTGTTTGCCGTCATTGTCATTGTTGTTGCTTGGGCGCCCTTTTAAAGTAAACTACTTATATCCAATCAGACGTCTGCTATCATGTCTGGAAGCAGAACGCCACTTGCCTTCAGACAACCAGCTGCAATCTTTAATTATATTGCTAATTTCATATCACGCTATAATGTTTGTTTATATTAATTTCTTTTGCTTGACTTTCATATAATTGCTGGAAATGAGGGCAGTGGTGATATTTTTATCAAGATGTCAAAAATCTAATTAAGT